GTCCCTAATTATGACTAGAATCTGATCCCTTTGATCCCCCAACAATTCTCTCCCTCTCCCCCAAGTTCTACTGATTGGGTGCGTTTCCTTCATTCCCCGTCACGCCTTTCTCAAGGATTACATTTGTGATCAACGTCCGGTTTAGGATAATGCTTTGAGTGAGGTTCAAATGTTATAATTAGAACTGCGGGTAGGGCAATGGTCATATTTTAGGTGAGGTTTGTGTTAATAATTATAAGTTATGCGCTGGAATTATGGTAAACGATTTATAGTTAGGTTTACGATATAAATACCGTGCTAAGCATAGGTAATTAACGTTCTCAACTTCAGTTTTATCTTTAGTATCGACAATCACGACAATTCTACAGAATAATATATTCAGAAGAAGAAACGACGATCATTGGAACAACGGTTTTATTTTCCTGACGTTTCGGATTCTGTCGAGAATGTTTAATTGTAGGATAGTCTGCGACATGCACAGAAAGGGGTCTTGGCGTTTCCCCCCTCATAGTGACTAGTCACCACTGACTGGCATTAGCTTACCCGAATCTTCTAAAAATGCTCTTTGATTCTATTTGTTCTGTTTACATCTCCTACCTTGAAATATTGTACGTCGCGCGCGACACTTCTTATATCTTGTTTCTGTATTTAAACAAGCAAATATCGTAACTATATTTTTTTTCACATTTTCTTAGCACAAAAACTGTAACTTGTCAGTGTCGCTTGCACCACCCATAAACTCCCATTACCACTATTCCTGTATTTTAGGAATTCCTGTGTCCGGCTTTCTCAGTGGAGCCGCATATCTGATCGTCAACACGCCGGCGGGCTTTTCAAATTGAACCACCATTTTTCCCTCACTCCATTTGCATGTAAATGTTCTTATATGTACCTCGGTTGGCCCACTTTGTCCATTATAAACCGAGTTCTATCCCTCTTCTTTATTTCAACCCCAGTGAGGTCATCGGTGCACGATGCTGGCACCAATTTGAAAGCAATCCACTTTGACCTATATTTCACTAATTTTCCAAATACATTTATTCACGATGTCGACATCTGCAGTCATTGACGATTATGGACGACTTTTAATTTTCCGGTGTTTTTAGTTTGTGCACCTTATTCTTTTCATTGTGGATGGAGGACGTTTTTCTGAAAATTCTGCAATCCTATTTTCCTCTTTCTCTTCGCTACTGACACTGTTCACTTAATTGTTCGTATGACTGGTTAAGTAGCGAAAGTAAGCCTCTTGTTTCCGAATCTCGTAGTTTTGACAGAAGCTTCAAGATCTTTCCCACCGTGGTAGGATTCTTCAATAAATTGCATATCTGCATCAGAGACGAGGATGTATTGCACTAGTGCATTTCTACAGTTTCTATAATATAGACCTCCACCTACAGTCGTTCAATAATTGTAGGTGGAAGCTTTACTTCAGACTGTTCGTATCGCCCCAACTAGCATAACAGCAACAAATAAGGCTGACAGCATTCACCGTGATAAACTTCCGCTCACCTCATTTTTTTCCTTTTTATCGTAATTGAACCCTTCCGTTTTTTAAAAAAAACTGTGTCGAACTGTTTACGCTCCATTCACAAACGATATGTTTTTTTTCGCGCCGGGTATTAGCCGCTTGCGTACATCATCACAAATGGCATCCGGAAATTTTCAACTTTAACAACAGTGCTACATTTTGTCCATTTTGGGACAAGTGGAGAACAAAAGACAAATTGAGTAAAGGATTGAGTTTTAAAGCAGATAAAGTAATTAAAAAGCAAAAAAGATGGTAGAGAAACCAATCAACGACCAAAATTACGCACAGGCACAGACGACGAAAGTCCTCATTTTTGTTTGCTGTCGATATCCTGAGGTAAACAAAGATTTAATGTTTTTTTATGCATCTTCTTTGCCGACAACAAGGACTAATGTGGGACGTACGTATGGGGCAGACAGGGGGGGGCGTGCGGTGATTATTTATCTCTCAGGGAATCTGGACAAAGACGAAAGACAGAACGTGCTCCCTTTGGAAATGAAAAATGAAAACCAGTAAAACGCAGGAGGTAAAAAAGAGAGAGAGGAGAAGATGGCTAAATCGATCGTGGACGCGCGCGCAGAGGACGAAGTTGTCAACAAAGCAAAGAAGCGAAAAACGGCAGAGAATTGATTTCGACAGATGATAAGACGGGAACAGAAGCAGATAGGTTGAAGCCTGCAATTTTCTGGCGGTCCGGCAGTCTGCAAAACCAAAACGCAGACGGGAATTGACTGGCCTGGAGGGTTCTAATTTGTGGCCTCCTTGTTTTCCGTCTTCGCCTCCTCTGCATTCTCGGCAGTCTTGGCCTCTGGCTCAGGCTGGGTAGACGAATAAAAAAAGAAGGAATAGTGATTTCGAACAATGTAATCTGCCCCACAGGAGCATGTTAAGTTGTAAATACACATTTACGAGGTCTGGAACGGCAGTCTATCTTTGCCTTCAAAGCGAAGAAGTGGAGTGCTAGAGAATAATTATCTTAGCTTGGCTGCTGGATATGTACGCGCGATTGCAGCGTTTAATCGAATCTGTAGAATCAGGTGCACTCAGCGTTAACCTACACTTTGGAAAAAGAGGGCAGACATTGCCTCCCCTTTCTGGACGTCCTTCTTAGTAGAAGGTCTGATGGAACACCAAGTAGAAGTGTATTTCGTAAGAATACCTGGACAGGGCAATACACTAATTTCTACAGCTTTGTGCCGCTAAGTCAGAAACGAGGCCTTGTCCGCTGCCTCACGAACCGAGCTAGGAAAACATGTTTTCCGGAGACACTGGAGAACAAACTCTCACTCAGTAAAAACAACTTAAAATAAAATGGCTTCCTCGAGAAGTTCATCAATAAAATTTATGGTAAGACATCCACCAAAATCGGAAGTGCCGACAGCTGAGAAGAAAACCTGATTTATTACATTGCCCTTTCAAGGGGATCCAGCAAGCGAATAGTGATTTACTACGACAGGGGGCAAGCAATAACTGTTTGTAGTATAAACCTGTGCATCGTAGAGTCTCCCGTTCGGAGAAAGGAGAAGGGGCGGAAATCTTTTTTTTCTTTTTCTCAGTCCCCAAATGATCCGCGAAACCAAGGCAACATGGCAATGAAAGGTCGGATGGTTGGATCGTGTAATTATGTGTTTTAAATAATGAATCGACCCACTGGAAGTTTACAGCGATTTCCACAGGTTCTGTTTCACTATAGCGCAGAACATATTACTTTTATTTATAGGTTCCGGTTTTTCTAGATAACCGAGCTAAATACTCCCCTATATTTTGTCTGCATTCACCTTTTATTGCACATTACTCGCTGATATGCGGCCCACTTCGAGGGCACTGGAATGGATCTCCAATAAAAACGAGGCTTTTTCCTCTAGACTGAATTAAGCTTAGTAGGTGTCCATATCAAGCCACTCTGGCTTAGAATTTGGCATTGAAGTCACTTTACTTCCTGTCCAATACTCATTACTGTTAATTATTGAGTAGAAAAATACTGTCTGATAGTTAGTTAACACTTTATATAGTTAATGGTATGTAAGTAACCCTTTGCACAAAAAATTCTATAGCTGAGTTAAATCTTCATGAATTCAGTTGACGACATTAAATATCTCGAATGTTTACTTATGTTTATGAGTATGTAAACTAAGGAGACCGGTCTGTTTTTATGTTCCAATGGTTAGGGTTTTGTGATTTCAGTGGTCTTTACCGGAATTAACAAATCATAGCTAAGAATTGCTTAGAAAACTCAAAACTATACCTTAATGCCATTCTTACGTCCACTTTAACAGCGAACGTTTGAACATAAAATCATTTAGACCTGTGTTACATAGAAAGTAATTTACACTATCTAAGACGTATTTTTCCAAAATTAGGTCATAGTTTTATTTTTAATTGGTTTTCCCATGGTTTCAGATTTAAAGGTCCTCCATGGATCTACATTCTCTCATAAATCCGCGTAATACATCCTATTACGTTGTTACAGTATCAGACAATATTTTTGCAAATGTTCCAATCATTTTCATAGGTCTCTTGAGGAAAAAAGGAATGCTGATGCCTACCACAGCTCAGCAAACCTAGACTAAACACTGACTTTTTATCTGCAAGCAGTCCTTTTCTCTAGCTCATTTTAGCTTACTCGGAGTCTATGCCTTCGGGACTATAAAAAAGCGTCAACTAGGCAGGGAATCCACCTCCTAAACTGTCGGTTAAATCCAACTAGACGGACAAACATTTAATCGGCCAAAGAAAGAAAACGTTTGTAAACGGCTTAAATCCACATAATGAAAATAAATAAATAAAAGTCCTCGACACTTTCGCAGGCGCAAAAACCACATAAATATATTGCAGAACACTGAGTGCCCTTATGGCCCACTGACAGAACACTAGGTTGCGCGATTATTGAGTGAATTCCAATCGAAAATTCTTAAGTTATGTGATCAGCGTATGCCTTAACTACAACTAAGACAGAAACGTCCTGAGTCCATTTGTAGACTATATGCTTTCAGATACCCATGCAAGTTTCGTGCTACGAATCATGATAATTTTAGGTTGCTCACATACAAAATGGAGTTTCGAAAGCTGCACTTATGCGCATAAAATGTGAATGACACAGTGCACGACAGATAGCATTTCTTGCCCTCGAGGACTTAGAACATCACCTCCAAAGCCCTCAAAGCTTTGATTTATGAGTGTAAGATTCCATTTCAGTCGTCGATGAACGTTCACGGATGCCTAACGGAAATCGTCCCACTCTGCCTTGGGTCTCATACATGAGCCTCACCAACAGCCGCACAGCCTAGCAGATAGTAAATAGAAAATTCATGATAAAAAAATGTAGTTTTTATATTTTAACTTGGACCACGTTTCGTGCAATGTTTTTCATACAGTAACGAAATGATCAGTGACTATGGCATAAGTTCTTGACTGTATGAGACTTCTCCTCATAAACTGACCAGGGATATATGCATGAGCTGACACATCTGTCTTACTCAATGCATCTTGGTTAATAAATTTAAGCAAAACGAAAACAATGATCAGGCATCCATACTATTCAAATTTCAGAAATAAGAGAAAGTAATTAACACGGAAACTCACAGCTTTTGGTTGAAGTTTTGGATTGAGGACAACCTTGCCGATATTGTGTCTTTCTTGCAGCTTTTGCATGGCCTCTTTCACCTAAGTTAAAGGGCAACATTGTAACTTGTGGCTTCTTTCAATGAAATATAGCAAAAATTCACTCAGACCTCGTAGTCCGGACTGCTACGGACTACGATTGTGTTGCGCAACCCATTCGAGAAACAAACCTTGACTGAAGTCAGCGATCGTATGATCAAATTCTGGGATGTCTGAGGACACTTATATTTTCATTACTTGATGGAAGTCTTGAATGTCGATTTAGTTACCTCAACTGAGTGATCGACTTCAAAGTCCCAACCCGAGATGACATTTCCCAGTTCCGTTGCCCTGTCTTACGGTCGCCTTTAATTTGTAAAATACTGCTATAGTTAGTATTCTCTCCACCTGTTATATTAACTGTCCTCCAAAGTAAACTTAAATCGATTACTGCCTTTAAGCTACTTATTAAAATACCGTACCTCCTCAAAACACCACACGCTGTCCACGATTGGCTCAATCTTCTTTTCAGAAAACAGTTTGGTAAGTTCCTGCCAGGCCTCAAATATGGTGCTAAGTTGGGCATGTTGGCGGAAAATCAAGGATCGTAGGGAGAAACCTCCCAAAACCTTGCTTTCCTCTTGAAGTTTCAGTGGGTTTATCCGGTCCATTTGAATCCACTATAGAAAGAAAAGGGAATTTGTAAGTTCTCAGTTAGAAAAAAGGTACACATTGCGATATAAAGAAACCATAGCAGTCTATGGTTTCAGTAAGAAGATATGACCGTTGTTTTTAATTCAGACTTTAAAAGACATCTGCACTCAAAGTACATACAAGTAACGCCATTTTTTTTCAAAGAAAGCTCTCGGTTATTTTGAAAATTATTCAATATAAAAATGACTGATGGGCTTTTTTCTTAACGAATTATGCTTTTAACCAACAGAAATTTTAGGAGAACGAAGTAACCTATGACGTCACTTAGGAAAAAACTCAGTTTTCCTTAGCGTCAACTAATTCAACTTAAAGCTGGTTCGCTTATTCTGGGTGGATATAAAGAATTATCTAGTCCAATACTAGAAGCAAGTTTTGCATACTGGCCTAAGGTCTCAAGTCGTTTGCGGGTATTTCTTGCTGATACTTCAAAGTGTAGGGCCTGAAAACTTTATTATTCAACGGAGCTTGCTAGGTTGCAATTATGATTTTTCAGACAACGATTATCATGACAGTCTACCGCCAGCCGGAACAACAAAACAAATAAGGGTTGTTATTAGTCGCTTTTCCCTAATTCGTAATTAATTTATATTTTTAGAAAACCATTTTTCTTATTCTAAAATGAGAAAATCTATTTTTAAGGTCCCTGGTTGTATTCGATATTCCAAAGGGAAGATAACGATAGGAAAAAGCCTGCAAATGATGAACAATGATCGGAACACGAATGTGCAACCCAACTTAACAGGTAACCTCACATCGCCATAAAATTTACTCAGCCTGGTTTCCGTATTTGAGATTATTAATTGAATTGTAGGTTTCTCAACGCTCTCTGAAAGAAAAATATTAAATGCACATGAGTTGCACCCGAATTACTTTTCAAAACCCTATGGATATTGCCAATTTTTTTAAGGCGGATTTGAACAGAAACAGTCAGTTTATAAAACGCTATTTAAGTTATATAGTGTCTTCATTTCCGCGAAAATTCCCATTTTACAATTGAAAAATAGTTTTGGAAACAGCTGTTTTCGATCATTCATCATCAGACCATTACAGTGGCAAATAAATTGTCAAAGTATGTACGGAGCTTATAGGGGTCGTAGGATATTGGGGCGTGCTTAGTCATCTTTTCTTTTTTGATGTGTCGAGGGCGTTGGGATGCGGAGTGAGCGAAAGGGTGACAAGCTCCCGGTGTTTTATTTTATATCAGTTTTGTTGAAGCGTCGAAAAGTGTGCAAACGGGAAATGACAGCAAAAAAAAACATATACAATTTCAGTTGACTCAATTGCGAAAAAAAATCACAATTTCATATATTTAATTATTATTCAAAAGGGTACTACTGCGAGTTTTCAAATAAAATGCTGTTTAAAGTGCGTTGTATAGATTTTGGGTACATTTACAATGAAACTCTGTCATCGTTTATATGTCGTTTTAGGGTTAACATTATTTTCATTTACTTCTTTTTCTCAATGCATATGCAGTAAAATTCCATTGTGTTCGTCGACCTGAGAGTATGCAATAAATTTATAATCAGGTTCCTCTTTGAATAATATTAATGCATTTGTATTACAAAATTATCGTTCACATATAAAGCATAGGACGAAAGGTCCCCTTAAGTAGGGGGAATGTTGGTTGCTCTCCCGTTTGCCCATGGAGACATCAGCTTCTATAGGTCAAAGTGGTGATAACATCGCTATGCCATTGATTTGGCGGTAAAAGCGACCATTAAGGCTTAATTGAACGGTTATCGTCTTCTTCGACCTGAAAGTACGCAATGAGTTTATAATCTGGTACCTTTTCAAAAAATAGCAATGAATTGCATGATTATTTTCCTTTTTTGTCTGTAACACAGTAGTGGGTTGAGAAATTCATTATATACATATGCAAGAATATCATCTTGCACTTATACGCAGTGGCTTTGACTAGTTAAAACGCATTTAAATGAAACAAAAGCTTAGTAATCCAGCTTACATTTCATTGTGGAATGATGCAATACCCTAAGACTGGAGGGCTTTAGAGAGTTCAAGGTTTTTAGAAAATAGAGCCAACGTTGATCCAGACGTGGACAGGCTTTGCAGTCACCTTTTTCAAAGTTGATGAATATTATCAAAGAAGCAGGGTATAAGACAAATATTTTTCTATTTCTGCGTCGCTGATTTGGCTCTGTTTTTTATTCTGCGTGACAGTTTGCGTCTATGTTCAGTTAGAGTGGAGAAAACAAGACTTTGGATTCTATTCTGAGCGACTTTGGTGAAGATCATCTGGTAGAAAGCATTCATAGTTAAGTAAATAGCAACATCTGCCGGAATATAGTTCTCTAGAGGCACAAAACACGAAAGCAGCAGAAATTCTTACAGATTTTGCAAAGCTGAAGAGGTTCTTTCTGTCGCCCGTTACGAAATTCGAACTGCCTGAAACGGAGAATAGAAAGATGTTAGGCTTCAGCTGGGTGGACGCTGCCGCTTGCTTTGTTGTTGGATAACTCAACAGCAACTGACCCACAAATTGCTGAATGGAAGTAGGAGATGGAGCAATCTTACGCCATAGTTAAACACATGAAAATATGAAATGGATCTGACAAAGCAAAGGGAGACCGGGATGGTCATTTCTGGCTTGTTAGCCGTCATCAGGCTGTCATACCCAATCTCAAAACATAGCTACTGACCGTAGATAACGTATCGACCCATGGGCTGAAGGAGAGAAATGCCTTTGTTCGTGTCCTCGCCAGATCGACTGTCTAGCACCACAGTTACTCCATGTGGATGCTCTCTAAAATAACACAAAGAAGGTTGTATGCATTTGGAGCCTATTTAGTACCTGTAATGTTTTGCAACGAGGGTCATTCACATATAACTTTTCGGATGCGAGCCCAACTATTGAAAAGCTCACAGCCAAAGACCACAGCCACTCATGAATAAATCAATGAAATTT